TTCTGTTTTATTTACTTTAAAGAAGTGAGGAGTAGGGAGATGAAATTATGTTTTTTGAAACTGAGACTGGACGAGTAGATCTCTGCAAACTGCCGACTTCAAAACTAGCTGTTGGTTCAAAAAAGGTTGGGCACCCCTGCTTTAGTGTATTTGTTTTATTTTTTTTATTTTTTATTTATAAATTGATTTTAAATCGATTTTGAATCGTGGTAAATGAGAATTTAGATTCTTATGTGAATTGATTTTTAGCACACCTCTACAGGCGAGCCAGTTTCTGAATCAGTCACATGGTACAAACCACCAGCGAGGCTTCGAACGTCACCAACACAAGCCTCGACACGCGCTCCACAGAAACCCTCCTCTGTTACTCGACACGCCTCGAAGCCTCGACACAGAAGGACACGTCACTCGTTATTAGAGATTTTGTGTTTTTTCTTTTGGGCCTTTCTATTTGGGATTTTGCCCCAAAGACTTTTATTAGTCTGTTTATTTTTTTTGTACAACAGTTTTGCTGTATTTGAGTTCAGTTTTGAGAACAAACCTCGTACATTTTGTAGCATTTTCTTTTTAGTACTTTACACTTTAATTATAAAAGTAAACTGTAAATTAACTTTTTTATACTATATTTAAGGTCTTGTCACTTATGTTGCGTCCATCACGAGCTGGGACATTGAAGAAATTTATAGTTATTATAGATTAGTACTGATATCAGAAACAACACCAGAGTATTAGGGGTTTCTTTTTATAACACTTTTATAATGTTTGATCTATTATGTGTTAATTGAAATAGAGTAGCTACATGTCTGAATTCACATACAACACATAATTAAAAAGCTGTGTTAACATTAGAGTGAGGTCTTTGTCTGAATGCCTGTGATTCAGCCGTAGGCCAGCAGGGGGCGAACTCAGGCRTTGAAGAATCCTGTACGGTATTTAAACGGGGACTTCCTGTTTTTCATTCAGTGTGGTTTTGACTTGTCAKCCGGTGGCATAATAAACCTCAGATCATCTTATTTAACACTTGTGTTTTCATCTGATGTCAGCCGACATTAAAACACGTATTTCTTACAACGTAACATCCTTACCGAAATATTGTGAAACACCTGGTTTAACCTTGTTTTTCAAAACAACATTCATTCCTTTCCATGTTGCCTTTATATCATATAAAATATGTTTAGATTGGACTGGACTAAAACATTTTTTATTTGATCTCTTCTTTATTTTCTCCCCACAGAACTCCTCTACCGTTTCTCTGTAAGGTTCTGTGACCAGGAGGAGAACGCCAGGATGAACCAAGAGGAACCAAAACCGCCGCAGATTCTAGAGGAACTAGAATTGCCCCAGATTAAAGTGGAACACGAGGAATCAGAACCTCCACAGATTAAACTCGAAATAGAAGAATTGAAATTACCCCAGATTAAAGANCCCCTGAACACACCATCCCCACTGTGAGGCACGGTGGTGGCAGCGTCATGCTGTGGGGAGGGGTTTCTTCAGCAGCAACAGATGTGAAGATGTCCTCAGGATCATCCTGGTCCTGAAGGAAACCCTGTTAGAGAGTTCAGACGGGGGCGGAGCTTCACCTTCCTGCAAGTCAACTACAAACACCTACTGTGGAACGGGTCAGAATGGTCCAGTCAAAGTCCAGACCTGGATCCAGCAGAGGGTTTGAGGCAGGACTGGATTATTTTTGCTGCTTTTCTCTGTGAAATGACCTCATTTCTTTCTGTAAAGTTGATTAAAACTGTCCACTGGGCCACGAGTGATCCTGCTGACAGACAGACGTAAACCAAGTCTGAAGTGATGTTTAATATGATCTGAGGTAATACTTTCTGCAGAGACACGCCCACCAGTTGTGTTTAAATGTTAGATGACATGAAGACGCTGCAGACGTTCAGCTCACTTCATTAAAGGATGTAAAATGAAAATAAAAACAGAACACAATCATTTGCAAATCTCATGTTTTATTTATGGTGGAACAGTGACCCCTTTTCTGCAGTGGCACAAAAAGTGGCTGTGCACCGTCTGTATTTAACAGCTGTTTCTGCAGGAAAGGATCAGTAACAGAGGAAGGGCATTAGGCGCCCCTCCCCTCACAGGGCACTTATCGTGGTGGTGTCTTTGACAACAGGGAGCTGAAGATGGAGCGGCAGAAAAGAAAAGCTCTCGTGGTACAAAACAGAAAACGGGAGAGGGATACAGATGTTGAGGGATGAAAAAAATCATTTCAAAGTGGTTGAAAGACAGCAGGTAAGTTCTGTCAGTGTGTCAACAGGAGGGTTGTAAATATTCACGTTRGCTTAAGCCTAAAATGACAGTTGGTTGCAACTGGCGGCCCTGCAACTTTACAATRTAACAGATAATAAAAAGCAAAATAAACACCTAAAGTTGTTTCTGGTGAATCATAAAGCTGATAAATTATGGGTCACCAACACTGTTTATGTTTATAAAACACAAAAGTACAAAAGACAAGATTTTACCCATCTGAAATATTCTTGCAACGTTTTAAAAAGGATATAAATTTAATTTGGTCTTTGTGTGAAGGCCACTCTGAGTCTGATGGTCACTTCTTTTGGTCGTGGCCCTTCTCTACTCATTTACAGGCAGATTTATTTTTTATTCTACTTCTGTTGAGCCACGTTTCCYCTTTGCTTTGAACATAAATTATTTGGCTTCACTGGCCACCCTGACCAGCAGATATTCCATGAATGTGAACCATTAAAACTTGTGCTTTATGTGATCGTTTTCTTGTTTTTGTGTAACGTATTGATCTAAACTATTGTCTCAATGCTTGTAGTCCCCTGGCCACTGTTATATTGTCTTTTTTTACATGTTTTTAACATGGTGTTTCTGTAAATAAATAAATAAATAAATAACGACGGTGGAGCAGTGGTTAGAGCTGTCGCCTCACAGTGAGAAGGTCGCAGGGTCACCTGACCTGCAGCTTTTCTGGTTAACAGGGAAAAAAAGGCTCCAGAAAAGATTTGAACCAGCAACCTCACAGCAACAGTAACACCTCAAACATTATTAGTCTCATTTTCAACTGTTTAAGCTTTAATTCTGCTCAGATCACATTCACAGGTGAGTAAATAAAGGTAAATAAGATCAAATCTGCTTATGAAATAAGACATGTTTTCACAGTTCTGCTGGTTCACTAGTTCTCTGATAGTTTTATGTTTTTATCCTCAAGTTTATTTACATGTTAATATTATTTTATTATGTCACATACTTATTATTTCACAGTTTAGCATGGTGGTAGCTCAGTGGCTCAGTTGGTAGAGCTGATGCCTCTCAGCAAGAAGGTTTGCTGGTTCAAATCCCGGCCCGGGGACCTTTCTGGGTAGAGTTTGCATGTTCTCTCCGTGCATGAGTGGGTTTTCTCCAGGCACTCCGGCTTCCTCCCACGACCAAAAACATGACTGTGAGGTTAACTGATGACTCTAAATTGTCCCTGGGTGTGAGTGAG